ATATATATATATATATATATTCGATTGTTAAACAATCGTATAAGTTACGAAAGCTGCAAGCTATTAGGTTTAAGTCTAAGATAAATAAATTTGGATGAATTACCACTGAAAGCAGCACAAGACGCATGAAAGCTACATAAGTGATATTATTTATTGGCAGAACGAAGATCTTAATTGTAATAATGTGAGCAGCGATAACGTGAACAATCCTTGGGGAGAAAAGCGAGAGAAGGAAGTTCATCCTGGGGAATTAACGGAGTCAATCAATTAATACGCTAGTCGGCACTGTTGATTAATGAAATTACTTAGGCTTGCCTTAGTCTCTCCGGTCGCTCTTTAGAGTAAGACACATTATCATCTTTAATTCGAAATATTTCCTTTTCAGAGGAAGAGCAAATATCAGGAGGCGAAATTAAAGGCGCTCAAAGCAAGAAATGAGTACATCCTGTGCCTGGAGGCTTCAAACACGACAATACACAAGTATTTCGTCGATGACCTATCCGATCTCATTGACGTAAGTTATTCATCTGTGCACGTACATCTTATTGATCCCGCGAATGGCCACATCTTCACCAATCTCTATAATCATTGCACTTATATACATTCATCACATTGTAAGACTCAATAATATCACATTCAATAATACCACATTTATCCGTTTTTTGCTGTACGACAAGCTTTCGAGCCTGATTGATTGGCTGTAAGACAAAGAGGTTTCTCGGATCTCTCTGTCAATCAACAGGTTTGAAAAGTCTTATTGACACATGAAATAACGTGACGATATATATCGTTCGGACTGAATTTATACTGTCATTTAACAAATCATTATCCAGTGATTTATCTTAATAGAAAATACAAAATAACTGGAAAAGATAAAATAAAAATAATCATAAAGAAGATCTAAAAACTTTGAAGGAGAAGTTAGGTTCAACTTACTGTCTAACTTCTACTTTTCTTGGTACTGGGCTTTTACTGAGACTGAAATCCTAAACTAGAAAAGAACTTCTACTTTTAATCATTAATGTAATGTAATGTTATTTTAGAATAAGAGATAAATAAAGATTAAATATGTATTTGTTTTCACTCTTAGTGCATGGATTTTGGATTCCACAATTGCATAGCAAGGGCATTGTTGATGCACTGTAGCGCGGAAGAAGGTAGACAGCGTTCCCTACAATCTGGCGCTGAACAATTAGCTGCGTTCGTTGGTGCACTCGATTCCCGAGCAGATAAACAGAGATTTATGGAATCTCATCACGCGGCCTTCATGATTCCCAAAAAGTTTGAATTCCAAGGACAGCGTGGAGATGAGGTATGAAAAAGAATGAGACAGACAGAGAGAGAGAGAGAGAGAGAGAGAGAGAGAGAGAGAGAGAGAGAGAGAGAGATCAATATTTATTTAATACTCTTGGACAAAATCTCCTCAAATTTGTACAAAAAATAAAAAAATTGTTACAATAAGTGACATGTGATAAAAGAAAAAACAAACCGGTAGTATACAAATGCCTGTATTCATAGTCATGCTTTATATTTAAGGCTTATCTTCAGACGCTTTACGAATTATTTTATTGGCTACTGAGCATCTAATGATAAATTTAAGGAAGCCTTAAATATATGGTCTGAAAACGGAGAAAAAAATTAGTATAAGTGAGCATGAGTGAGAGAGTGAGAGAATGAGAATGAGAGAGAGAGAGAGAGAGCGCGCGCGCGCGCGCGCGTGTGTGTGTGTGTGTGTGTGTGTGTGTGTAAATTGTATATATAAAACAAATTTTGTATTAAGATTCGATATACAAAAATGAGGAATAAATAGAGTAAGTGGTATGAATTACAATTATAGTTAGAAATATGATTAGAATAGATAACAAATTTACAGAGAAGAGCGCATTATGTAATATCGCCGCTCTTGTCGATCCAGTTATTATAACGAAACAGATAATAGCTCCCTAGAAAGATCATGTGACTGGAAATAGCCGGTTTTAGCCAGGTTTTAGAAAGACTGATGACATGATATCTCGAGTTTATGATTGAATTTATCAAAATGCGCGAACAGTGATTGATAATTCACGTGATGTATTTCTTAATATAGTTATTCATAGTTTATACTTTTTTAAGTTCTGAGGTTTGCTGACGTAAGATGTGGCATTTTATATTATCCAAGGCCGAGTTGAACATTCGGCTTTGGATAAATTGTTATCAGTTTTTTTCCCCTTGCTTTTTTTTAATTTTGGGGAATTTGTATCAGATATCCGAGAAAATATCCAAAATTCGGCTATTTGCTCTATTATATGTTCGACTGGATATAGGATACACGAATCGATATCACGTACTTTTCAGATATCCGATAACCGATAATTTTACGATTCGATGCATCCCTAATTTTAATAATATAATAGTTAATAATAGTTAATAATATAATACAATTGCGAAAGCATTTGAGAGAATGAATTTTAAAAATTATGAAAAATATTCTGATTTTTCGAAATTTCTTCATAGCCATTGTCGATGCGATCCATCAATCTGTTTCTTCCTGATAGACGCCCGAACCCGAATTGCAAAAGATGCTGCACTCTGAAATGGAGCAAAGATTGCAGCAATTACAACAGAGAGTGACGTCGCTGCGAACTGAGTCAGAGGAAGTGTGGAAGACTTTGGAGACGGCGGAAGCGAGCCTGCTTGAAATGTTGACCGCTAAAGATTATGATTGCTCGAGATATTTCGGCGAGAATGCCGTATCTACGTCCAGACCGCCGGAGACGCTGCAAATCAAGTTACGAGCTGATAGACAAGAGACTGAAGAATTCTACCTCACGGTGAGTTTAGAAAGTTGCACGATCGTGCAGTAATATATTGATCGTCGCATTAACATTCGAAAGATAAGGGAAACGCGATACAAAGGATAAATAGAAAGCAGCCGGACGTGCATCACTATATGCAATATTTATTATTTTTCAAAATAAAAATGCAGTTTTTCATTTATATTATAGAATTTTCAAAAAAAGAATTAAAATATCGAATGCATATGATATTTATTATTATTCAATTTCTTTCATCTGTAGACTATATATACTATATTAAGATTGACAGAATTATTGGCATGCAGACTTTACATTCTGCTTTAAAAAAACTATTAACGTACAAAAATATAATAATACATAATATACTATATTCAATAAAATTAAAACATTAACATTAGAACTAAAAAGGACAAAAATTCAAAATTACATATCTTTCTCTTTTTTTTTTTAACGTTTTTAAACATTGCTCTACAATCATTTTTCGCAAAGATACATAACTTCGAATTTGGTTTTTTTTAGTGTTAATTTTAAGTGACCCTTTAACATTTTGTGATATACTATAATAATATAGTAAATATAAAATATATTTGGATGCATTCAGAACGACAATCGCTTATGTTATGCAACATAAAGTAACTGATACAATAAACATTCTGCCAGTTACAAGAATCGACTTTGACATGGCAGAAAAAATGCGATTCATAAAAATCATGTTATCCTTCATGTTAATATAGAAATTTAGAGAGTATCTTCTTGGAACATCGAGAATAGCCAGGTTAGACGCGAAACAGGAGTATATCCGACAAAGCCTGCTGGATGGCTCAAATGCTAGCCCAAACCCCTCGATCTCCACGACAAAGCAGAAGCAAGCACGCCGCAAACGAATCGGTCGTCTGCAGATGAACGGTCAACCGAAGCTGTTTGGCGGTTCGCTCGAGGAATATCTGGAGAGCACGAATCAGGAGATACCGCTGATCATGAAGAGCTGCATCCGCGTGATTAATCTGTATGGCTTGCACCATCAGGGTATCTTCCGTGTGTCGGGCTCGCAGGTAGAAATCAACAATTTCCGCGAGTGGTTCGAGCGTGGTGAGGATCCACTTGCGGATGTCACTGATGCTTCAGACATCAATAGTGTCGCCGGGGTACTAAAGCTCTATCTGAGGGAGTTGCGCGAGCCCCTCTTTCCTATCATCTATTTCGAGCATCTGATGGAGTTGGCGCAACTCGAATCGAAACAGGACTTTGTAAACAAAATGAAGGAGATGATAGCGAGTCTGCCACGGCCAGTTGTAATCGTCATGCGATATCTTTTTGCCTTTCTCAACCAGTGAGTATTATCGCTCTGCGAAGAATTCATTCGTGTAAAGTTGCTAGATTTAAAATTGTCTGGTCTATTTTTAAACAGCCTGTCGGAATTCTCGGACGAGAACATGATGGATCCGTACAACTTGGCTATCTGCTTTGGTCCAACTTTGGTGCCCGTTCCGGAAGACAAGGATCAGGTCCAATATCAGAATCAAGTCAACGAGCTTATCAAGAACATCATTACATTTTGCGAGGAAATCTTCCCAGAAGACATCGGGGGCACTCAGTATGAAAAATACATTAGCAGAGAACCTGACGACGTGTAAGTACAAATAAGTTGATCTATTTATATCGAATATTGTGTTAAGACAATTAACATTTAACATATATATGTATAATATAAACATTGTAAATGAAACTAATTGTAAGAAATGTCGCAACTTTTTATCAAACTTTAGGTAACTTTTGTATTTAAAAAATTTTTTTACTATTGACATAATTCATGATTTAGAGATGTGGGAGATTCACCGACGGATCAAGTACAGGAAGACATGGACTCGGAAGTTTACCCATCCGAAGATGGTAATGCAATTTTTTTGAAGATGTAAGATGTTGTTAAATTAAAAAATATTTTGTATAAAGTGTAATATATTCTATTTTCTATCTATTAGAATCAGAGAACCTCGAAGCTACGGCGCAGTTTGACTTCAATGCAAGATCAGAGAGAGAGCTGAGCTTCAAGAAGGGTGACACCTTGACGCTATACACGCAGGTCAGCAATGATTGGTGGCGAGGCGCTCTAGCTGGCAGGGAGGGACTGATTCCAGACAAATATATTATGCTCAAGATAAAGTTAGTAATATTATATTAATTATTATGAATTTTATTTTAATGCTTAATAAGAAAAGACTCTGCGCATCTTTTATGGAAAATTCTTTCTCGGTAGAATTTATTCAAACTTTGGAATTTTATAGTTCACGGAACGCCAGTCGAAAAATTTCAATGGGCTTTAGAAATTATACACTAAGAGAAAAGTGTAGTTTAGTACTTGTGGCTATAATTACAAAATAATTAGGAATTTCATTTTTATACTGCTATAATGTTTGTAATAAATATGTTTATTTGTAATAAATGTTTATAATAAAAATTATTTT